CTATTTATTCTATTCTTTGGTAATTTTAGTGATACACTGCTCATGTATCAAAGATATATGCTACTATTGAAATATGCATTATTTTTAAAGATTTTCTGCATCTGTAGTTCCAAATGAGATTGGAGCACAATTTTCTTTTTCTTTCTTCCCCGCCCCCCCCCCGCTTTTTTTTTCCTATTGGTTTTTTTTTTTTGGCTGGGTAGGGAGTACTATCTTAACACATCTGAAGTTTCATATATGCCATGTTAATAATATGGATTAGGGAAATTTATGTTTCTGTGACAATAATAGAATACATAATATTGGAATTATGTGTTCTTTAAAGTAAAATACAGCTTAGTTGTAAAATCAGAACGTCCTTATTCATTTTAGAAGCATATAGACTTTTATTTACTTTCTGAATATTTCCTTGATTAACTACCTTATGTTTTTCTCTTTTTCTTGAACAAATTCTGGGAGTTTTTGCTTTACTGAAATATAATGTATTTCATCTAGGTTTTCATATTTGTTATAATAATGTTACATGTAGCATTCTTTTTATATAGTTTTTTGTGCCTGTGATTATGTATCATTTCTCATGTCATATTTTTTTCTCTCTTTCCCTTAATAAGTCTTATAGGAAGTTCATCTATTTTGCAATTATTTTCAAAGACTTTCTTTAAGAAAATCTTTTTATCCTTTCTCTAACTTAAATCAATTTAATTAGTTTTAGCTTTTATGTTTCTTTTATTACATTCTTGTGTTCTTTAATAATGAAAACATTTATAAACTTTTATCTGGATACAGCTTTTGCAACATTCTATAGGTTTTAATATTTATATTCTATAGCTTCCGGCTCTATTTCAGTTTTCATTCCTTTGGACCAAGTATTATATAAAAGTATCTTAAGGTGATTAAGACTTATGAGTCACTTTTCAAAATTGGATTTCTAATTGTATTGGCTCAATATTGAAAAAAAAATACTCTGTAAAATCTCTACTTGGAAATATTTGTTAAAGTATTATTTAAGATCAAATAATTTTTAAATGTTTCATAGACATTAAATGTTTATCACTTAATAGGCATGAGATGTTTTATATATCTTTTAATCAAATTTTATTGCAGTATTCAATTTCCCCATGTCCTTGCTTATTTTTCATTTACAAACAACATTGTTTAAGACTTTTCTTCTATTCCAAGTTATAATTACCCTAGCAAAAATTGCTCTACTGTCTACTTAAAAGTTTTCAGATGACCCTCCAAATTACCTTATTTTCTCCTTTCAAATACTTGGGATTTTTAACCTGAAAAAAAGGGGGAAATAAAATTGCAGAGTAATATCAGATTAGTGGTCTCTGTAGGAATGTCTTAGTGTGTTTTTTTTCTGCAGAAATTTTTTTTTTCCAGGTTACATTAAAAAAAACTTTTTTAAACTTTATTATGTCCATTATGTCCCTCAGTCAATGACATAGTACACAGAAAATTTATACCTAGATTCATACATGTCCAGTCATGTTGTGTATTCTTAGGACCGATTACTTCGGTGTTTGTTTGTTTGTTTGTTTGTTTGTTTGTTTGCTTTTTGAGACAGAGTCTTGCTGTGTTGCCCAGGCTAGAGTGCAGTGGTGCGATCTCAGCTCACTGCAAGCTCCGCCTCCCGTGTTCACGCCATTCTCCTGCCTCAGCCTTCCGAGTAGCTAGGACTACAGGCACCCGCCACCATGCCCGGCTAGTTTTTTGTATTTTTAGTAGAGACAGGTTTCACGGTGTTAGCCAGGATGATCTCGATCTCCTGACCTCATGATCCACCCACCTCGGCCTCCCAAAGTGCTGGGATTACAGGCCTGAGCCACCGCGCCCAGCCAAGACCACTTCGTTTTAAAGGAACTGTATCACTTTCCTTAGAGTATAACATCAAAAATTCATTAAAACAAAACTTGGTAATGATTTTCTCATTTGGTAATCGTTTTTCCTTGCTAGTAAAACGAATCCAACCATGTTTAGTAGGATAAACTTTGAAAAACAATAATAATCACAAAACAGAACTATTAATATCAGACATATTCATAGCAAACCGATGATTAGAAACTTCTTGAAAATATTAAAATATTTTCAATAAAACTTACGAAACTGGAAGTCTCTCTCCCTGTCTGTATACTGTGAATGACGTGATGAAATCCAACATTACTGCTTAATGATCCCGTCCATTCCACGCAGACTTGTTAGGAACTCTTGTTGCTTCCAACTTTGATTGACCTACAAGGTCACTCTAATTTGGGTGCCAGTAAGTTATGTTAGATTTTGAGATTCTGAGACAGCTCATATTTAATCTAAGGTAAAGTAGTTAAACTGATTGTAATGAGGTATGACAACCATATTGACTAATCTGCAAAGAAGACTATGACATTGCAATAGCAATGGGACAAGCCACCCAATTAATTAGTAGCAAATTGGACAGATTGCTTTGGACGTTTTCCAAGACAGGAAGTGCTTCTGGTGCTTTGCGTCAAAAGCAAGGCAAACCAACTTTCTTAATCCCCCTGGGCAGAGAATGATTTAATTTTTAATTTTTAAATTTTATGTGCCAGAATCAGAGGCAGAATTGAAAGATATAGAAACTAAGATGTTTATGTAAAAAAAAAAAAAAAAAAAAAGAAGTGTATAGTGACCTATGTTGATCACCATGATTTTTAAAGAAAGCTCATTCAGTGTTTCTTATACATCTGAATTATAGTGGAAATGTCATACCTTCACAACTCATAAAATGTTTTCATTTATAACTCATTTGTTCCTTACACAGATTTCTAAGATATTATCCTCCCATTTTACAATAAGGAAATTGAAGTCCAGAAATGTCAAACAATATACTCCTGCCAGAGCTAGCACATCACCAGAGGTCTCATTGCAAGACAGTCTCTCAGTTGGCATCACTGCTGGCACAGCACAGTGTACACCACTGTCCTCCCACATGTTAACTTTTCTGATGCCCTTTCCTCTTCCATGTACTGGTATAGAAACAACAGAGAACGTAGCCATGGCAAAAATGTTAACCTTTGCCTAAGTTTGTTTATTTCAATGCCTGACCTTATATTGGGAGAAAATGAAGCCAATCCATTTCAAGTTAAAAGATCCTTTGAGGTATCAAATAATCAGTCAGATGCTTTCCCCCCATTAGATTGGTGGATGCTGGCAGAGAGTGTGGAAAGAATATTCTTATTATATCTCTGTGGTGAACTCACACAATTGTAAAGTGAATCTGGCCTTTCTTGTTTTATCTCAAAACACCATGAAGTCCCACTTAGCTTGAAAAATTAAGTAATCCTGTGCAAAATTAAATTTCCTATTTTGCATGATTCCTGTGGCAGCACCTTTCCATTCTAGTTCTTAATCATGTTCTCAAATGTCATGTAAATATAGAAAACGTAACAAAATAACCACTGCTACCACTATCTCCCAAAGCCTATTATATTATGTGACTCTGTCCTACACAATAATGTGTCAAAATCCTAAATTTCACTGAGAAGGAAAGATGGATTGATTTTGTTTTCTAGTCTCTAGAAGAGGAGTTGAGATGTCAGTAGAAAAGTGCCTCTCTCCATCACCAGTGGAGCTAATCAGGGAAAAATGTCTGCGGTAGCGTACACATTAATCTCCAGCTGGAGCATGGAGCTGTTATGAGGTGTAACTAACCATATCGTTGTGACTCATCTCGGTCTGTAATAACATGCTTCACAGTGACATCAGTGGTTATATGAGATGGATGTTGCATGTAAAGGAAAAAGTACTGTTCAGCTGGAATATCTGTAAGTCTGCACATGACACAGTGACAGTTTGCAGTGAATGCAGCCACTGTTTTTCTGCAATAACACATCTGCCATATCCTGTCATCACTGTGTCTCTAAAACTGTCTCAAGTAGTCATCATGGGCAATTTCGGTCCCAAGGGTTGTTATAACAACTTAGTTCTCAAAAATGGCCTATGTCAAGTTGCACTGCAGTTGCTTACTCAGGCCCACTTTGGGGCTGAGTCCAGAAGTTAAAAAAAAAAAAAAAAAAGGAAAGAAATGGAATTCTTACATTGGTAAATTATTTCAATGACAATGTTATGTCAGATCCTTTATAAACGTTTAGTATTCAGAATTGATTCTTCTAACATTTTCCCTACAGAAGTAGAGATGTACTTTGATCTTTGATCTCTTTCTACATGTAAAATGCATAATGCTTATAAACTCTGTTTTTTCCAGTTGATTATCCACCGTAATTGGCACAGTAGAAAAAGTAGCTATATAATTTTCAGGAACACAATGTCTCTGGACTTCAAATGGGAGGGCCTAACTAAGGTTCATTTCTACTTTAAAATTATATGACCTTTTAAAAAACATTTCTTCAAAAGCTTTTTTCATGCCTCTTTTCTGCTAAATAAAAATTCTTTCAGAGGAAAGAACTGAGGATATAAATATTTATAAAAGTTTTAAGTTTTAATTTGAAAATATATAACCAGAAGCATCTTAAATTTTAAAAAGTAAATGTTTTAATTTCAAAGTATGTAAAATAACAAAAAATAAATAAAATGCAGTTTAGAAGAATACAAGGTGGATGTATATACCATATACCCAGCACAGAATATTTAAGATGTTGAAAACCAGAATTTACTCAGAATTGCCTAGTTGCAAGGGCAAAAGGGGAAATAGTAGACTACACTTTTACTGTCTAATTTTAGTTTCAAAGAATTTCAAAAATTTTTCTGGAGAAATAATTATTTCCTGGAAACAAATACTTGTAACCTGATTAATACTCAGATATTAATTGAAGCATTTTTAAAAGTACACTAATATATATTAGAGAAATATGATTTCATAAAAGAAAAAAGCATTCTGTGTAAGCAATTAGTATGTGTATTAGTCAAAACAATGTAGAGAGCATTCACAAATTTCCCTGTGCTGTGGTTTCTCTTCTCAGTGGTCCAGTATGGTGAAAGTGCCATACCTGCTTTTAATTAATGTTTCCAATTTTATTTTTCAGAATGAAAAATCCCCAGGGCGATCTGCAAGTCGATCAAGTAACATTTCAAAAGTAGGTGAAATGTACTCATTTTCTTGTTTTGTTGATTTCTACACTTCATGAGTTCACATAAATGTTTATGTTTAACCTGTAATTGTTATCTGTGAGCAGAACACAAATGTGATTTCTTCATGGTTTTAACTATTTTAAGCTTTTACTATAATAAAAGGACGTGATTTTACTCAAGAAAATAAGTTAGACTATTTTTTCTTTTACCATGCTGTGTGCAAGAGATAATTTGCTTCTCCCTTCCCTCCCCTTTCCTTCCTCCCTCCCTCTCTCCTTTCCTTCCTTCCTTCTTTCCTTCCTTCCTTCCTTCCTTCCTTCTCTTTCCTTCCCTCCTTTCTTTCCTTTCTTTTCTTTCTTTCTTTTCTTTCTTTTTTTTTTTCTTTTCTTTCCATGCTGGTTAAGAGCACTAACTCTGGAGAGTAAGGATCTGACTGTAAGTCACTGCTCTGTCACTTCCTGCTTACATGATCCTGAGATGTTCACTTTACCTTCCTGAGACACAGTTGCCTCTTTTATGACATAGGGGCGATGATAATATCAGTCACCTGAAGGAGGTTTTCTGAAGTGGTTATAAATTAAAACAAGGCCTTTCAAATATCTATCACCCTAGTTTCACAATGAAGAGCTTTGCCCGAACCAAAGCACTCTGTCATCTGTCTCAACTTGAATACTAATGTTGAATAAGTAATGACCAAAAAACTTGTAAACAGTACTGACAACACCTTTGTCACACCAAATACTTTTTCATGATCTAGGGGTGAAATTATATCTGCATTTCTAAACTGCTCTTTGAGTTTTACTTAATCCAGCTTGTTTATCATGTTTTAGTCTTTAATGTTTTAAGAAATAGAAAAATCAAGAGTCTAGTTTCCCTTCTATGAGTTCTTCTTCAGGGTCTGGTATGTATTAATTGTACTTCTGTGTGAGAGACAATTAATTATAAAACTGCATCTCATTTGGAGAGAAATGAAAAACTCTTTTCTTAAACATCACTGAACCACAAACATTCAACCATCGAACAGTGGTAGGATAAACAGATTTCAGTGCACATGAGTTTACCTATTTAAACCAATTTAACTTTCCTTTTATGTTCAGAATGAGTCACAATGCTAAATATGTTGTTGAATCCTCACTACTTTTTCATAAATTGATAAGTGAAAAACTATTCATTGACTACATAATTTATCAATTATGAAGTGGCCAAATCTAGAAATACTGAAGTTCTTTAAATTTGTAAAGTATTGGAACGGAAAACTTTAACATTGGAGCAAAGATTTTTTTCCTTAATTTTGTCAAAATAATTACTTGTGTTGAAGACTGTGAGCATTTTTAGAGTATGAGAGTCAGTATAATGGAGTGATTGGATGGATAGCAGAGTCACTCTTAGGAAGGTTATTTAACATCCCTAATAAGTTTGTCTGTAAAAGGAGTATATATATTAGCATCTACCTCTTACAGTGGTGCTTAGAACAGTGTTTGCCCTGTGTATTAGCTATTTTTAGTATGGGGTTCTTAATATTTCTTTATCAGTGATGGCTTCAAGCAAGTGCTCAATAAATATCTTCTTAAGCCAGTAAATTGGAACATGGTCTATAATATATGCAATGTTTTCTAGGTGTAATAATAACAAAATGCAGAGTAGACAGGATTAAGGAAGATGTTAATAATCTGAAGTTATTTCCTTAAAAAAATGCATATTCCTATTTCCATAAAAAGCGTGCATATATTTAACAATAAATAATAGATTGTCTTAAGTCAGTAATAGTATTACTCATAATGGGTGTCTTCCTTACCTTTTATCTGCTAATGCCATCTACTGTCCTTAGACACAGGAAAATCACAGAGAGTACAGAGGACTCCGTCTAGAATGCAATTGCAAAATTATCTTTTATATTTCTAAGTCTTCTTTCCTGCCTATTTCTTGCAGTTCTTTAATGAATCAGACTTTCTCATCATCCATATTTGTTGAGTGTCACATATCGAAAATTTTGTTCTATACTGGGAATTATGGAGTAATAATTTTAAAAATTCCTTTCCCATTCCTCAGTGAGCTTACAGTGAAACTGGGTAACTAACAGTGCACAGAAGAGTTCACATAACAGGTGTGAGACTCCTATCCTGAGAATAGCCTGCAGCAAGATTAGCCCTTGGCTGACATCTGGAAACTTAGATTCCATAAGTAGTGCTTCACCCTCCCTGTTAAGGATGATTCACTGTGCCTGAACTGCAAACAACATAGCTATCCTAAGCACATGCCTTCCTTCTGGGAGTCTAGAGTCTTGGTACATGTGGTTGCCTACACACTCAGCCCCCAGTAAAAACTTTGAGCACTGAGTCTCTTACAATCTCCCCTGGTGGCAACACTTCTTCACATGTGTCGTCAAATTCATTGAGCACATCCCAGCACTCCCCACTGGGATGGTCTTTTGGAAACTTGCTCCTGGTTTCCTCTGGACTTCACTCCATCACTCCCTGTGCCTTTTCCCTTTGCTGATTTTGCCTTGTATCCTTTCACAGTAATAAATCACAGTCGTAAGTATGAATATATTCTGTCTTGAGTTCTCTCAGAAAGTCACTGAGCCTGGGCCTGGTGAATGGAACCCCTAATACGCTATTTAAAAAAGAAGTAGAGACAGAAGCTATGGGAATTCAGAGAGCCATCACCTCCATCTAACTGGGACAGGGTAGCAGCAGAGAAAGTTTCTTAGAAGAATGGTATGTAAAAAGGCACTTGAAGAATGGGTGTGAATTGATCAACTGTCAAGGAAGGCTGTTTAAAGGGTTATAAGTCCAAGGCATGGGAGCTAGAAAACATAGATCATAAGGAGGAAGTTATATAAAATACTTTGTAAGGGTTTTTGAGATGGAATCTTAATAGAATGCATTATCTTCAGTCTACTCATAGAAGTCATACAACCTCAATCTGTGTGAGATTGTCAAGCTCAGTGAGTTTGACAGCACATGTGAAGACGTGTCACCTACCAGGGAAGTTCATGAGAGTCTTGGTGTTCAACACCAGTCATTGAAGTGTTATCTGGCTTTGAAATAGAGAAACTGATCTAGAACCCATCAAGGTCCTTGAGACTTTTCTTGGTGAGTGTGTATAAAATGGAACATGATTATTTTTGTCATTCAGGATTGTGTCTTATAAACATGATCTTGCTACTGTGAAAGTAAAAAATTCCAAACATGGGATAAATAATAAATGTGCAATTGTTAGTGGACATCAAACATTATATATCCTAAATTTTTACCTCTGGATCTTTGTACCATATATTATCCAATAGCAATTATACTTTGAGTTTTATTGTCCTTGCAACATTTACTTTTTTATTAATTTATATTTCTAGTTTGTCTTAGTAAATATAAGACAGTTACACCTATGATTCTCTCTTTCTTTCTCTTTTTTTTTAATTCAAGTAAGGTTGATGTGCCTTGGATATGTTACAGTTGATCCAAAAGCTATAGAGAAGTTATATAGGTTTAACACAGTATACGTGAGATTGTCAAAATATTTTGGATGTGAAAAAGGCAGCTTTCATTTATCCATCACTTAATTTTTTAATACTTTTTCATATTAGTGCTTGTTACTGCTTTTTAACACACATATTACTCACAAATAGGCTCCTCAAGAAGAAAAGTCAGCCAAATCTGGCCTTTTATTTCTTCTAGGGTGAAGGATCATTAGATTTAACTAGCAGCAATATAATATGTATCTCACAAGAAAAACCTTTCAAAAACCAACTGTCAAAAGGAAAGAACGGCTTGTACTTCCAAGTCAAGTCAACAGAATTTTCTTTTAAATAAAATCCTTTGCTTTTTGGTGTGTGTAGGAAGCAGCTCACAAAATCTAATCTGTTTATGAGAAGATATTCAAAAGCCAGTACCTTAACAAAATGATATTTCACTTAGTTTCCATCATTTCCTATTACATTCACTAGACTTCATTTACATGACAGAGAGTCATTTCAATTCTTCAGTTAGTCTCTACCTTAAAATGTCTTACACATTGTTAAGGTAAAGTTTATAAAATGTGCACACCAGTTAATTCTGAAATAAATAAAGATGCATGGGATAGTCAGTACAATTTACTCAACAAATATTTTTTGACAATGTACTGTGTATAAGGTATTATATGGTTCACAGCATTTTAAACAGGTGTTTTCTTCTGATCCAATATATACTTTAATTTTACTTCTGTTAATCTTCATCTCTCCGTATTTTTCCAGATTTGTCTTTAAGATCCCAAGGTATTTTCCAGCAAGGTCAAGGTGAAAGTGTTTCTTATATGTAAAATGTACCGAGAATTCTTTTCAGCTAAAAACCTGAGCCAAGTGTTTGCACTTCTGAACAGGTGTTTAATGTTCTGATTTATTGAGAGATCCATTTTGGTTTGCTAATGCAATGGACCTATAAATCATCTGTCCCTTCAGACTACATACCTTTAGAGGGTAAGTTTAATAGGTTGATGAAGTAAAGTAGGATATATAATTAGGAAATAACTAGGAATGAGGTGGACTAATTTGGGAACTTTCAGAGAGCCTGAGTTAAGGTCTGTCCTGAGACCAAAGTTGAGGAAATGGGTATAAATTTAGTTTAATTATTGAAGTCTGGGTGGGAGAAGATAAGAAAGTCTGAGACCTTCTTAGGTCCTGAGGCATGTTATTTATATACGCTCACTCCTTGGGTGATCTCATTTAGCTTCATAACTTTATATATAATCAACAGCCCAACAACTATCAAGTAGATATTTTTAGCTCAAATCTCTGCCATGAATTCCAGACTCAAAATGGTAATCAAATTTCCCACAAAAATAAATAATAGGAATCTGTCTTAGGTCAGTTTTCTCACAGCAGATCCTGAGATGAGAATTTTTTGCAATGACTCACTATGAGAATATTCCTAGGAGAAGACATCCAAGGAGTAAGAAAGGCAACCAAGGGAAGAGAAAGAAGTCAGAAGTTCTCTGCTCCTGCATGGGGATGCTGGAATGTAAAATGCAC